CGCACCCGTGAGCGCGGCCGCGGCGGAGACGCGGGGCTCGCCGGGGAGCGCAGGGCCCGCTCGGCGCTTTGTCAGGGAGCGCCGCTCGCTCGCCGCCCTCGGCCCGGGTTCGGGAGAGAAGTCCGCGTCCGCCGCGCCCAAGCCGGCGCGTTCAGGTCCGTCCCCGGCAGCTGCTCGCGTCTGTTAGTGTTCTCTGAAGCTGGGTGAATTTGCTTCAGACAACTTTCTGAGGACTGTCATTTTACCGCTCTGCCGCTCACATTCCAGCTGTGATAGACGCAGAATTTTAGCTGTTTGTAATAATTGTGTAGTATCGTTAGGATTTGGTGTGTCTGGTGAAGATTTAGAAAGAAGTAAAACAGCAAATTATCTTCACGTTACAAAGAATTGTGCCACTGATCTAATACCGCTTTTGTGAGAGAAGGTTTGTCCTCCCATTTGCAGAGCACAAAAATGCCTTGATTCTGTCTAAGGGAGAAAAGGAGTTGTTGTAAAGAAAAATACGTGCTTTGCGATGACTTTAAGTTCTGTAACCCTAAGACGCTTTTCTGTGCCGCCAAACGAGTCGTCTTTCCCCTGTTGTTTTAGTTGTTAGGCCTACTCCAAAATACGCGTTTGAGGATTGGTCTGGAACCTACCCATTGTCTACGAATCTCATTTAGATTGCTGTTGACTTACAGGAATAAGTGTGTACTACGTAAACTTTTGAGAGAAAAATTATTTAACTCCACCCATGGTGCTTTAAAGGCAAGGAGGATATGTAAAGTTAGGTAGAAATCGCTTGATTAGCAGTTAGTCAACTACAGATTGTTTTTACTGATCAGGTATTTAAGTAGTCCCTCGCTATTTCGCGATTTGACTTTCACAGACTCACTGTTTCCCAGGTTTTCAAAAAATAATAAATCTAAATTATCGCCGATTTTTCGCTATATTGAGGGATTTTGTACTGTTTTATATGTATTTATATGCATAGTATTTATGGTTTTAATGATTTTTGCCTAAAAATTTAAAATATATAAAGTATATTAAAATATTAGTTATAACATGTTAAAAAATATTAAAATAAAATACACTGTTTACATTATGTCTAGCGGATGAATGCATACTGCACTGTACAGTATATGTATGCTGTTAAAATTTAGTGTTTACAAGCTTAGAAAATGGTTAAGAACATTAGTATTTTTAAGAGTATGGGAAAGGTTTATAAGTGTGGGAAGGATTTATGAAGCCTTAAATTATATGTAAATACTAAAATAAATATAACATCACTACTTCACTGATTTCTCATTTTCACTTATCAAGGGGGCGTATGAAACTTAACCTCTGCAATAAGTGAGGGACCACTGTAAATTCGAAAGTCCTAAAGGAAGGATTCATTTCACTTCTATATTTTATATAGAGGTGGCCTAGTTAAGACCAAGATGTTATACTGCCTTATCAAAAGTTTTCCTTAGTAGTTCATTGTATCTTAACATTATAATTTTCAGCATCTTTTTCCATACTGTAGATTCCCTAGAAATTGGTTCAGTTCAATGTTTTCCAATTTCACCTCCAAAACTTTTTCTGTGTGTAAATGATAGATGCTCAGAGAAAGTGAAAACCCTATTGTCAAGGGTTAATTATAAAACATTTAATATGAATTTATTTGTTCTCATTTCTCCGACTATCTTGAAGTGTTTTTGTTTTGTGAGATTTTATTTTTGTAATAAAAACCACAAATTGGGTTTGCTTGCTTGATTCCATAAAGGTAAATAAAGTTTAAATACTAGGAGTTTATCATTATTGTTTTTTGTTTCAAGTTTGTGAAAAGATAGCCTATACTATGATTAAGTACTAGAAGGAAATGAGGAAAAACACATTAGAAGGCTCTTTATCAAAATTTTTTTTTCCTTTTGCTCATCCTTTGTAAATTCTTTTTTCTCATCCTATATTTTAAACTGTCATTTTGGTTATATACACTGTTGGGCTATTCTTCAAGCACCAGTAATAAAAGCTATTATTCACTTACTGTTAGGTGTCTTGTAGTGAAAAACTCATTGGATTTATGTACTGCTAGTATGTGAGTTATTAGTATCTGATAAGGAAGTGCACTTAAAAAATTAACCTGAGTGTAAATCAGATGAATGTGGTAGTAATTTGTAGTTTGCTTTAAAGAACTTCTGATGGTTCCTTGTGTAGAAGTACTCAGACTTGAATGTGAAATCTCAGTCTAGCCAGGCAAATATTAAAAGCCCTTAAATTGTGCACTGAGTGAAAAATAAGCTTTTTCATAGGGAGTGTGATCTTACTGCTCAGCCACGTATAAATCTTGGTGCAGTGCCTTAAAATGGCCCATATTACTGGGTAATTACAAATAATGACATTGTTTTTCATAATTGATAATTGAATCAAGTTCAAGCAATTGATGTCTATTAAAATAGGCTCCATTAACTTAACATTTATGGACTATAGTCAGATTTTTAAAATCATTTTAGAACAAGTCATAATGAACATTAACTAGGTATCTTCACTCATGCTTTATGCTTATTTTAATTTTTTAAATGTATTTTAGTACAGGGCCTTGCAGGGTCTCACTATACAAATTGAACTCATTGATCCTCCTGTTTTCAGCCTCCCAAGTGCTGGGATTACAGATACTCACCACCATGCCCAGTCTCAGTTGTAGTCTCAGTTCACCCCTGGGATAGGGCCAGCACAGCATGTCAGGATCAAACCCTGGCTGCTGCGCCTGCATAGGCAGCTACTTTAGTCTGCTGAGCTATCTGGCTGGTCCTTTATGTTTATTAATCATCCTCTTCAATTTATGTCCACAAAGTGCGTAGAGGAACCCATTACCAGAGGTCTAGAACCGTAGTGTGAAGCTTTAGCTCTCAAGTATAAAGTAGTCCTAATGGGAATTAAAATTCATATTTATGAAGATGTTATTCTGTGGCACTGTTTTCTTACATCCTTTCATGAGCCCATGTTCAAGATGTAAGAAACCTGTTTTATCTCCTGTGAAGATTTTTGTTTTATTTTAAAATAAATATACCTTAAAATATCTTTCAAATTATGCATTACTATACAATTTCACTTTTGGCTGCTCACATGCTAAAGTTAGTGTAAAGGTGGCAGGGATGACTCGGGTTGTCGGCTCCTTGAAGGCCATGCCCAATCCATGTTCAGACTAGAGCAAGGGCAGGGACCCTCTCTTGGAGGGCTGGAGGGTGCATGTGGGGCTCCGTGACCATGGCTTGCAGAAAATTCTCCCTGGGTGTTCCAGGATTGTCCCGTATGAGGCTCACCCTGCCACTTCCCAAAGTGGTTGGTCGTTGGAATGAGAAGAGGATAGTGTTCAGAGTATATGACAACATCCAGATCCTAGGAGATTTGAAAAACACCCCACAGACCTGACCACAGGCCACATATGGCTTCAAAGGGAAATGAACTGCAGCGATGTATATGAAGGAAGAAAATAGTTGGAAACAGAGTGTTCACTGATGACTTGCACAACCTTAAAAAAACGTATCACCTATCTCTACAAACACTTCAGTCATCGTGGAAAGTACCAGTAGAAGAAAAATGTGGAATCTGTGGAAGAGACGCATCTGTCTCCCTATGAGGAAAGGGTTTTGTATGCTCACTAATAAAATGGAGCTTTCGTGTCTAAAGAGAAAGAACAATTTCCCTTTTAAGTATTTCCCTAAGGCATTGTTTATATGCTGTAACTGATACGGTGCTAATCATGAAGTTTTCAATAACATCAAAAAATGGTCAGTAATATGTATTGGTTAGATAAATTTAGAGACTAATTAAAATGTAGGACATAAGTGAGTATTGAGAAATGGCTTTTGCTGCAGTAAGTATAAAAGATAGGATCTCAATATAGTAAGAATAAAGAGTTGAATATAAGAGTTTGAAGATAATCTGATATGCAGACATTCCTTTCTTATAAGGTGTCAGGAAATCTGAAAACTAACTGTAGCTTCGTACCTATGTTCCAACCCATGTTTCTCAGTCCTCAAGTCACCTAAGAAAGCTGTGTTGTATGTTCTGTACCTTGCCAGCTTTGCTATTCTAATAGCATTTTATCATGGAATAAGGGTATATGTGGGAGGACAGAAGCATCTGGCTTTTGTGCTGCCTCTGTCCTTGAGGGCACCCCCAACTGACCTACAGAGACCCATGGACCTCCACCAGGCTCTGCCCCTTAGCAGCCTGTCCCATACCCTTACATCCTGGAACCACGCTTCCTGCCCTGGGCCTGGAAGGACAGACGATACCTATACTGGAGCAGCAGGTGACTGCTTGACCTCTACCCATGAGCAGTTGTGTTTTGGGCTTTATAGTTTTTAGTTAAGGAAATAGATTTTGATGATTGTGTTTCACTATCACTTAAGGAAATTAAGAATTGAGGATGGCCTAAGTGCCCAGTGATAGGGGAATTCTTAATGTCACTTTCTTATATGTGATATATATTTTTTCCACTGCAAGTTTAATTATGTACAACAGTTTTCAAAAGTATCAGTCCTGGAGAGGAGTTCTAATTAGAATGCTGCAAAAAAGGGGTTGCTGAGACTTTGCTATAAACTTCAGATTCTGTACCTTATTTAATAATTTGGCTTTTAGGGATAAAAATGAAGACTTTTGAAAGGTATCTTTAAAAACCACTCATTTCAGATTTTGAAAGTTTTCCTGTTAAAGAGAGCTTGCTTATAATTTACCTTTCCTGCCCTGATTGTTTACATTGTCCTAAAATGACTTCTGAACAAATCAATACTTGTTTAATTTAAAACTTTGGGGTGAAACAATGATACTGTAAAGAGGTGTTAATTTATAAAAAGTCTTGTTAATAATGTTTATGGTATTTCTGGCATTCAGGTTACTAAACCTAGTTTTTTAGAGAATGTTTGATATTGATGAGGGCCCACTTGACTCAAGGACCAGACTGTAAACCTAGAAGGTGTAGAACTCACCATTTCTGTCCTTTGGTGGAGAATTCCTTCTAAGGCTGATTTCCAGAAGATGTGTAAAAACCATTGTGGCCTCCTGTGTTTTGGCTGAGAGACCCTCATGCTATCGGCACACCGTTGGCATTTGGCACTGCTTTGCTTTTATTAAGTCTCACTGTGAAATGCTGTCTCTTTCAGAGTGCTGCGGAGATAGGAGCACAGGGAGAAATGATCTGGGTAACATGAAAGTAATGCTGCTGGCCGACGGACGGCGGCCTGGTGCTGAGGGAAGGGCTGCAGCTGGTCCCATCTTTGTCCAGGTAAGCTGCCCCCAAGGACCTCAGCTCTTGACACCAAGTCTGGGCATAACTAGTGCGTGGTTTTAAGTTTCTGCCCAAGGAAAATGGATTCACTGGAAGGTAAATACTATACATGAATTGGGACTTCGTGTACGAGTCAGCATGGAGTAGTTAATGGAACCCAAGGCAAAGTTTGAGTCTTCTTACTCAGTGGGTAAAACACAAGTGAACAAGACCAAAGCGTTTATGGAGGCAAGAATGTTGTTGAACACTTGAGATTGTGACGATGGCAGCGAGGCCAACAGTGGTGATCCAGTGGCTCGCATGCTGCAGCAGGCTGTTCGTGTCCTTGGAAGTCTTAAGAGCTTGGCCATCACTGACTAGACCATTGTTGTCGTCCAGTGTATTGTCCTTGCCAACCATGAGATACTGAAATCTTGAGATTCCACTCATTCATTCTTCTGGACAAAAATAACCTCTCGTATGTTTAAAATAGCAGGCAAAGGTATGTTAAACAAGAGTTCTCTCTTTCAGAAGAAAGCCTAACTCCGTATTATTGAAAACAGTTTTCTCAGTGGTGGATACATGCACTTGTTTAGTACTGTGGAAAGACACCCCAGTAAGAGTGTTGCTGTTTTCAGATACTAGAGGTTAAATGATTGCAAAAACTTTAGGAAAAATAATTCTTACATCAAGATAAGTTTTACAAATCAGTTGCTAAGGCATTAAGAAGTAAATACTTATGTGAAAGTATCATAAAATACACACAAAAAAGAGATTCACTGATAAATACCCTCCAACAGATTCACTTTTAAATTCTGCATAGTAAAAAGTACTTTTTAAAAGAAGTAAATGCTAGACTTTTTTAGAGCAGTCAGGTTTTTGTAGGTTATTCATTAGATTCTAAACAGTGTGTCTAAGCTATAAAAGACAGTGTTTGAAGCTTGAATTCCTACTGTTTCACATAAAGAATCTCTGGACAAATAGGCCATAGTATTGGGTGGGGTCAGGCATGAGGGAATGCATGTTTTTCCTGTCTGGAAGTAAGTTCCAGACCCTGACCTGCATCCTGTTCTGCAGATTTGAGTATGAGCACAGAGGAAGAGGACTCTGACACAGTGACAGTTGAGACTGTGAACTCTGTGACGCTGACACGGGACACTGACGGGAACCTCATCTTCCACTGTCCTCGGCATGGTAGGATAGTGTAGGCCGTGCAGTCTGTCGGCCTGGGGTCACTGGGTTCCATGTCACTGTCCATCCTGTGATTGCTGCAGACTGTGCAGCTAAGAAGGGGAGAGGATGATCTCTTTGAATCATGTATTGACCTAAGTTCATGTTTTTTATTTCTCATAGTTATAAAATATCCTCTAATATCTTTAAATTTATCATAAATTTCAGCTTTCGCTAACCTGGTGGCTGTTTTATAAAAACAACCTATTTGAGTTTTCAGTTGTTGATGGACTCTCATATGCTTCTCTATACCTTTTGGTGGCAGCATTGTATTTAATAAGTCAGAAAATGTAGAAAGACTTCTGCCAATACTGATATACTTTTGTTCTTGGAAACTTAAAAATTTTACAAAACTGTTTACCGTTATGTTCATTTGTGGTGGCTTAAGATTCCACCGTCTTGAAGTTTTAAAATATCCTCTAATATCTTTAAATTTGAGCTTATTTTTACCTACTTTTTCTTTCTTTTAGTCGTTTATTAGTTTATTTTGCTTTAATGGGGCCGTGGAGATGGCTCAGCATAATAAGTGCTTCCCTGGTAAGAGCAAGGGCCTGAATTCAATCCCTGGTTCCGCCAAAAAAAATTCATCTTTACTAGTATAGTTCTGTTGTCTTCTTTCATAATATATCTGTCTCCTGGGTTGTTTCATTCAGTTTGGGAGAGATTAGTTGTTGGGTCTTGATTTTTGAAGTACTGAGGACAGAATTTTGCACACAGCTAAGTCCCAGCACTTTTTTTTAAAGTTTCCCAGGCCGGGCTTGAACTTCCGATTCTCCTGCCTCAGCTTCCCAGAATGCTGGGATTACAAGCGTGTGCTAACATACTCTTGTGGTCACGTTAAATTTCACGTATCTAAAACAATTCTTTCACATACTTTCTAATGCTAGTTTACTTTTTCCCTTTTGAGTAAGTGTCCCAAATCATAAGTGTACAGGAATAAGTTCTGTTTCAAATTTACTTCATTATGAAGATTTATTGATGGTTTGATTTTTTAAATTCATCTTTGGTTTGACTCCTTTCTTAGTTTAAATTGTTTTTTCTTATCTGAGTAGTTCTAATAACCTTTAAGCCAGTCTCCCATCTCTAATTCTTTTTTTTTTTTAATGTATTTCGTACAAGGTCTCACTATGCAGCTTGGACTTGTAGTGATCCTCCTGTTTTCAGCCTCCCTAGCACTGGGATTACAGGCCTGCTGCGCCGCCATACCTGGACTAGGCCAGATGGCTGGCTCAGTGTGCCTGGGGGCAGGGCTGGTGTGACATGTGGTACCAGAGATTGAATCCTGGTCCCTGTGCTTACCTAAGCAGGTACTTGGTTCATTGAGCTATCTTGCCGGCCTTTCCTACTTCTAATTCAGCTTTCAAATAGCTGGCAAAAATTGGTCATGGCACTGGTTTTAAAGCTTCCCATCTGTCCTGTGGTTCTGTACGTATTGCTCCTACTGCCAGGAAGAATAATCATTCCAAGGGGTAAGATCCCTCCTTCAGCAAACCTTCCTGTGCCTCCAGTCTAAATTATGTGCATCTTTTCTGTGCACTCACACCCCGTCCCCGTTCTTCATAGCTTCCACAGCGCCTTTTTGGAGCTGTGGGCTCAGTTGTCTCCACTGCACTCTAGTTTCTTGCAGCCAGGGCAGCCGTCATTGTTCTAGTCCCACTGAGAGTACGTGTGGCTTGCAGTACATACGTGAATAAACCAGCCACCCAACCCTTGTCTGTATGTACAGATGGGAGGCAAATCTACAGTGGGCATAGGCTGGGCTAATGTGGAAGAAAGCTGTTACAGTTCTTACTAGTTGGAGATTTTGTTTTCTTTATTGGTTTGAAGTTTTGAGATTTTTCTTCAGTTAACTGATTTTTCCTTTCATTAGAAGCTGACGAGTTAGATTCAGAGGACAGCACCGACCCTCCGCACAAGAGGCTGTGCTTGTCATCGGAGGATGACCAGAGCATCGATGACTCTGCACCTTGCATATCAGTTGTTGCACTCCCACGTAAGTCAGTGTGTTAGCAGCCAAGAATCTCCTTTTGAAATTACATTCAAGCCAGCACAAGACTGACTTGCCATTTCTTGGTAGACTTTAACTTTTATTGTAGTCCCAAAGCCTCTTTTTAAATAATTCTACGTACTAGACATAGCTCTTAAGTCAGAGGCAGTGAACTTACGGCACATGTGCTAAAGCGGGTGGTTTGTATCGTAGAAAGTTCCCAAAGGTTCCCCATTCTTGCTGTCAGTGCTTTTAACTGTATTGCCTAGTTAATCTCAGCTTCTTAAAAATTCTCGACCTCTTACAGGCTTCATAAGGAAACTTTTAGACCTTTTTTTCCCCACTCATTGTATTCTCTTTTGTGTATTTTTTAAAATGTACTATCTGTACATCATTGTTTTATTTGTAAAGAGCAAAATTTTAGCTGAGCACAGTAGTGCATATTTGTAATCCAAGTGCTCTGAGAGGGTGAGGTGAGAGAATTATAAGCTTGAGCATAGTGTAGGCAATTTAGGGCGTTGCTAAGACCCTATCTGAAAGTAAAAATTTTAAGAAAGGAGGGTAGGGTTGTAGTTCAGTGTAAAGGCCTTAGGTTCAGTCCCCAGCATCACAAAAACATTTTTTACACCCCTCTAAGAATGGTATCTCCCTTGAATTAAGACAGCATGCTGTGCAATAGGTACTTGAATTATCATTCATGTTCCTTAGATTAAAATGAGATGTATAGAGATAGAGTAAGTTGTTAAAGATTGTATCCAAGCATTCTGATTGTTACAGGTTATACTCGTAACTTTGGTGTTATATAACAGCCTCTTCCAGATAGTACGTGACTGCATGGAGCTGTGATAACTGGCTAATTTGTTTATTCTCACTAAAATTTTTTATTTAATTTATTTATTTTTGCATTCCTGGATTTTACATGATAGGCAAATACTATACCTCTGAACCCTTCACATGTTTCTCGTCCAGTGTTTTTTAGAGTATACTAGGTTGTAGGGGAATAAAACATGTGGAATAACACTGGCAAAGGACTGTAACGTACCAGTTGCAACATTTGATTATTTCTGATATGCATAGAAGGGTACTGAAGCCTGTTCAAGAGGGGTAGTTCTGTAGAGCCAGGTTGGACACTATAGGCTGTACTTGTGCGTGAATGTAGGACTGCTGCTGCCACTTTCGGTACAGAGAAGAGCTTTGCCGTGTCTGAGTACTGACTCTGCACATAGCATCCAGCAAGGCATATCCTCATCTAGTGGAGAACAGAGTTGGAAAAATGATAATGTTACTGTCGCTTCCAGGTATGGCAGGTACATAATTCTTTTTTGTCTGTCTTTTTTAGCACAGCATATTTGTAATTAAATGAGCTCTTCTTAACCATGATCCATGTATATTTTCAGTTCTATCCTAATATGACTGCTATTATGTTGTGATTTTAAGCTCTTGATTGACTTAACTGTGTAGAATTTCACTAAGTGGAATAATATGAATTTGATAATATTCATATTTGAATAATATGAATATTATATTAACAAATAATAATATTCATATTATTTGTTGTATTGCATAGGGTTGTCTTCAGATGAATTGTTCAGATTACCAGACATTTGCATGCAAAATTGGAAAAAGAAACAAATACAAAAGAAAAAAAAAGATAAGAAATGAAGGAGAGGGCCGGGGAGATAGCTCAGTAGAATCCTGAGTTCAATCCCTGGTACTGCAAAAAAAAAACAAAACAAAAAGAAAAGAAATTAAGGAGAGAGAAAAAGGGGGGAAAATGAGAAAAGGAGACCAAAAAAAGAAAAAAGAAAAAAAAGAATTAACTGCTCCTTTCCATAGAACAGCAGAAATCCACAGTATAATTATCCGAACCATCCTGCTTACATACATAGAAATATCTTTTTCTACTACTCCCTCTCCTGTCTTCATCTCAGTAATTCTTTCTTTTTAAACAGGTTCATTCCCTTTTCATATTATCTATTGTATCCTTCAGATTTTATTTACTATTTCAGGTTCTTACACTAAGGTGACAATATGATTTTTGCAAATGTGGGTCTGATTTCTTTTGTTTAAGAGTATGGTCTCAAAAAAAAAGTATGGTCTCTAGTTGCATCCATTTACAAATAAAAGCCTTTTTTATATCTGAATAATGTTTCCTTGTATAAAAATACCACGTCGTCTTTATCCATTCCTTAGTTTGATGGACATTTGGGTTGCTTCCAAAATTTAGCTATGACAAATGGCACTGCTGTAAACATGGGTACACATATATTGCTGTGGTATGTTTTTAATTCTGGGAAGATAGCCAGCAAGGGAATGGCTAGCTTGAATGGGACCTCCAGTCCTACCTTTGAAGAATCTCCACACTGATTTCTGTAGTGGTTGTAATGGTTTGCACTCACATGAACAATGGAGAAGAGTTCCTTTTTTCCCTATATCCCCCACCCCCAGCATTTGCTATTGGCTGACTTCTTGATAGCCAATTTTTCTGGGATAAGATTTGTAATCTCAATGTTTTAATTTGCATTTCTTAATGACCAATGATGTTGAAAATTTTTTAATGTATTTATTTGCCATTTGTATTTCTTCATCTGAAAATTATATATTTATCTCTGATGCCCATTATTGGATTGGGTCCTTGAATTTGGCGGGCCTGATATTTTTAAATTCTTTATATTCTAGATAGAAGACCTTTGTCAGAAGGACAGTTGGCTATAATTTTTTCCCAGTTTGTGGGTTTTCTTTTTAATCTGTTGGTGAATTCTTTTAATGTTCAGAGATAAGGTCCCAGTTGTTGATTCTTTGAAGTATTTCCTGTGCATATTGGTTTCTGTTCATGAGCTTTCTACCTAGCCCTATGTCTTTAAGATTTCTAGCTACATTTTCCTCCAGGAGAATTAATATTTCTATTTTAATCTTTAAATCTTTGATCCATTTTGCCTGTAGCTTACCTGTGCATATATTTCTATGTGAATTTTTTCCCAAAATAGAATTTCAAGTGGTTATGGTGGTATAAATTATGACTATTTGAGTAATTTCATTAGTAGAGCACCCTTGTTCAAGATCACGTTTAGACATTGTAGTATGAAGCAGACTCCTTCACACCCTTGTCTTTTACCTATGATAACATAGATGTGTTACCACAGAAGCACCTGAGCTGTTTGGAACTAATGCTTAACAATAAGACTGAATTTTTTAAGAAGTAGGTTCAAGGTATTTACATGTTCTCTAATTTATTTAAAAGAAAAAAAAAAGTATATTGAAAAAAATCAACTTAGTAAAGTTCTGTATTTAAAATAAAAACTACATAAAAGCATGAAGTTTGCTTATCCACTGTCAGTTGCAGGAGCAGCACTGGGCAGGAGTTGGTGGCCCCACACGTTACTCAGCTCAGAGGGACAGTTGCTCAGGCCCTGGAACCTAGGTTGTGGGGCACCTATGAGCTCCGCGAGAGAAGCTGTACAGGCTTCACACTATTGGACCTGCCTAGAACCAGAGCAAGTCACACCCAGTCAGCACTCCGGAACTCTTACTTAGGAGAGACAACTGACCCAACCAGATTTAAAGTGTGAATGTAGGGATGAGAAAACAGGAAAAGGCAAGGTCAAGGTCACAGGGTGCCTTGCGAGGAGCACAGGAGCTCCTTGGCACTGACCCCAACAAGAAGGAAACTGATATATCACCTAGAAAAGAGTTTACAGTGTTATTTTTAAGGAAGCTCACCCAGATAGAAGAGAGTATAGTCAGATAATTTAACAGAAGTAGGAAAATAATTTATGATCTGAAAGAGAAATCCAGCAGAGATACAAGCCAAAGTTAGAAGAAAAGAAGTAATATCAGGGCAGAAATAGAAAGATCATTAGGAGTGTCTGTATTATAAACAAAACCTAGGAAAATGGGTACATATGTGGATACATAGCATTCTACTAAAATTAACCATGATGGCACAGAAAATCTAACCCAGTAATTAATAACAAAGTAAGATGTCCCAGCTCAGGTGGAATTGCTATAATCAAAAAGACAACAAATGCTGACAAACATGCAAAAAGATGCTCTTGAACCCTGTCGATGAGTATGTAGATTAGCATAGCCACTGAGGAACCTGGAGCTCTTTGAGGAGTAGAGCTTCTGTGTGTATGGGCTGAGTTGGGGCCGTGCCTGCACTTGGTGTGTGGCAGCACCATCACCGTGGCCACCGCTTGGAGTCCATTTAGTGTCCATGAGTGGATGCTTGCACAAAGAAAATGTGTATAGGCAGCAAAATTGTACTTGGGCCTAGAAAGAACAAAGCCTTGCTGTTTGTAAAATCATGAATGGAAATGGAGAATGTGGTCTCGGTTGAAGTCAGTTAGGGTACAGAAAGCGGTGCTGCACGTTCTGTTCATGTGTGAAGCTGGTGGGATGGGGTGGTGGCTGTTGGAGTTTGAAAGGAGTGGCGTGGGGAATTGGAGAGTTGCCAAGACGAGCTACTCATGTTGTGGAGCAGGAGGGAAAGGCTTGGGTGTTGGGTGGCCACATGCTGGCTGCATTCCGTCTTCCTGCCGTCTCCCCAGCACTCAAAGTGGAACATACTATAAATCAGATGCCAAGTATTAGGCAATGAGTATGTAGATGTGGGGATGCATTGATAGCATGTCAGCAGATGGTCACATTTTCTGCCATGGATGTTTTTAGGATAATTAAATCCTGTTTACATTCTGGAGATGAACTATTCTTTTCTTGAAGTTTCAGAAAATGATCAGAGCTTTGAGGTGACCATGACTGCAACCACAGAGGTGGCAGATGATGAGATTTCTGAGGGAACTGTGACACAGATCCAGGTATAGTACAACTTTTCACTGGCTTCCAGAGAGGACCCTTCCCACATCACATAGGTAATGAAATGATAACAACATGCTTTGACAGAGTAGCAGTCATGGAGTAGAGGTGAGATGCGTCATTGCACTTGGTTTCAAGTCTCCCACAGGAGTACAGAGGGGGGCTTTTCAGATGCAGTCCTCGTGGAATGGTCCGTGTCAAGAAACCACAGTGGGTCATGTGGTCCTCCTGCAGCAGTTATGATAGTGTTCTCCGTTTGGTGCATGTAGGATAAGAGGATGGCTAGGAATTAGTGCCTTCTGGTTTCCTTGCCATCTTTTTTAGTTTTCTCTTAGAAACTTTTGCTAAGTTACTTCTGCCAAAGGTCGTCAGTTCTTTGCTCTCTCAGTAATCTGAAACTTAAATCTGTACTACTTATAAGTTTATCTCTGGCTAATTGTGCCCCTCATTTTTAGTAGCTTGCCCTTTTGCTTCATTTCATCATAAAATATTTACTAAGATATTTTTCAAGTGGAGCTGTTACAGAATTGTTTTTAAAGCATTATGTGACTGTTTAAGAAGTATAATAGTTTCCAGCTGGTATGTGGCTAAGGACCTCATATATGTGCACTGAGAACCTTTTAATAATGAATTTCAAAATAGTTCCAAAAGCAGTTTCAGGAGGAGTAAGTCAAGTGGCTTATTGTAAAATTAAGTAGTGCTGGGCATGGTAGCACACTCCTGCAATCCCAACACTTGGGAGGCTGAGGCGGGATTGCTATGAGTTTGAGACCAGCTTGGGCTACAAAGTGAGTTCAAGGTTAACCTGAAATGCACAGTGAAATCCTGTCTCAAAAAGACCAAAAAAGAAAAGAAAAGAAAAAGATTAAGTAGTGATAGTGCTAGATCTGTTGTAAATTTTTGTCTTGCCTAATGTCAAAGAGTGAATAAGTTATGACTTAATGTTTAGCTTATTACTGTTTTAACAGGGAAGCACTTTTTTTTCCCCTTTTTTTGGCGGAACCGGGGATTGAACTCAGGCCCTTGCGCTTGCCAGGGAAGTGCTTATTCCACTGAGCCATCTCCCCAGCCTAGCTTATTACTGTTTTAGTGTGTAAAATTTTTCAATAGTGTCTATTTGTTTAACAAAATAATGGTAGATTGTGTTTTGAAAGTCAGCATAGTTTCAAAATGCAGAACATCGGCTGCTTACTGTGCTTTTGTCATAAACTAAGTGCAGCCTTTTGACATAGTTCAGTAGTCAATGTACTATCGTGCATTCCAGTCATGAGACTAGCTTGAAAGATGAGAAGCTGTAAGTCCCAGTGTATTCCATGTTTGGTTTTAAGAGGTCATGAATGGATTGGATGTTTATTTTTAGATTTTTAAGTAGACATGAAATCCTGCAACTAGCTCTCAAGTGTTAATAGTATATTAAAGCATAAGTTTAAGATTTATACGTACTGGGGCCAGGGAGACGGCTCATTAAAGAGCCTGAGTTCAATCCCCAGTTCTGCAAGAAAAAAAAAAAAAAAAGATTTATACGTAAAATAGTGAAAAATTGGGCAGAACACTCACATACTTCTGCAGACAGGTACCCTTAAGCATACCTAAGTGTCCTTTTCTGTGCAACAAACTCATTTGTTATTGACAGTGCTGAATATACTGCCTGTCTGATAACTTAATTACCTGGTACCTGTCTACTGTGTAATAACTGTAAATTGTCATCAGGAAGTTGAGGCAGAAGACATTAAGTATCCAAAGGTCATGGTTGGGGCTGGTGAGATGGCTCAGTGGTCTAAAGCACCTACTTAGAATAAGCTAAGCTAAGCACAGGGACCACGGCTCAATCCCCCAGCACCACATGTCAGCCAGCCCCCCCCCCCGGCTGAGCTGGCCACACAAACACTAAATAAATCAATCAATCAATCAAACAAAGGTAATGGTTAATTAGCATTGTGGGCTTACTGTAACTAAGGGTCATGGAATGGGCTGTATAGTATATTTAGACATACTTTGAAAATGGTGATTTATCCATCCAGTGAACTTAAGACACCATCTGGTTGTGTTTTATATATTATAGTTTACGTGTGTGTGCTATATCATAGTGTCCTGATAGTTTTCATTTGTAAAGTTCACCCTTTACAAGTGCAATACTTATGTCACATCTTTAAAAAATTGTCATTGACAGAATCCAAGAGGCCTGAAGATAACACCCAGTTTGTCTCAATTCTTAGCTTTATAAATGTCTAAATTTTTAAAAGTTAGAAAAAATTAAGACTGTAAAACAAGTACAGGAATATAGGACTGTAAAACATTTTAGACTTGTTACAGTGATTTGTAAGTGAATTTATTTATTTTGTATTTTAGGGAAGGGTCTACAGGGTGTTCAGAGTCTCACTACTAGATCGGATTCATAGTGATCCGCCTGTTTACAGCCTCCCAAGAGCTGGGATTATAGGCGCATGCCACCATGCCCAGTCTCAATTGCCCTCTCAAAGCACCGCGGGGGTGGGGCCGGCACAGCAGGACCGGGGATCAAGCCCATGACCCCTTAATCCACTGAACTGTTTGGCTGGCCCTTTGTAATTGAATTTAAAAACACTTTCATAAATGCAGATATAAAAATATAACAGCAACAATAGAGACATGTTCTCCTCTTTTACATAGGTTGTTCACTGTCAGCTCATCTGTTCCTGAGTAAGATGGGTTCCAATCCTTCAGATTAGCAGTGCAGTTCCTGATTAGTGGCACACATTTGAGTCTAAGGACTCACCTCCAGCCAGAACAACCCTTAGCTTCGCATTGTATTCAGGGTGGAACTGAATTGAGTGCAGAAGCTCTTCCCTTTCCTCATCTGTCTGGGTTAGGCTTGTACCTGTCATGGCAGTACCATTGCGGAAGCTACCTCACTTGAACTAAGCTACCTCACTTGGCTCCCATGAGACAGGGCCAGCTCTGCTTTTAGGAGCAGCTTTGTCCTGCAGAGCTTGTTAGATTAGGTATGGCTAGTTGAAAATCCACCTGGTGATAATTGTGCAACAGGTGGCTTGAGCTGCAGTAGCAAGTACCATAGAGCTGTGAGGGATGAAGGGAGTGTAAGACTGGATCAGCTCCAGAGTGGATGAGCACCGAGTTAGCAGTCAGAAGTAAGCAGACATGACTGAGATGTGCTATAGCCTGCAAGTCCTTTACATTTAACAGGAAATTATGGATCACCATGTATAACTGAGGTAGCTGACTACGTATGAGGCCCTTAACCAGCTGTAATACCCAACCCTAGTATTTTCATTTCCTAATTTGGAACTGGTCACAGCTGTATGTCTAAGCTCATGATACATAGATCCACAAATGCCTTTGTGATATTTTGTATTGATTTAAATACTTGATTCATGGTTGGCCCACATAATAAATGGAAGCTACTAATACAGTTTTTGCTTACTAAGGGTCATACTATGTTAATGCCAACAGTATTCATTATGCTGCCATCATAAAGCAAGGGACTATTTGTCTGCTGTAAATTGAATGTATTTTTACTGTATCTAAAAAGTGGGCTTCAACATAAGATTGATACTGTTTCATAGAAAGCTGCACTGACCTTTAAAGAAGGGTTCATCTAATATATTTTATATAGTCCTGCGTAACTATCATATTGAGAGCTCTTTATTGTTCATCCAGGAGCATACTGCAACTTCTCTTGCCTTTTGAATTATGCTCTTTGTTATTTTCTATATGCTACTTCTGGAGGTATTAAAATAGTTCAAGTTTGTATAACTAGCAAACCTTACTTCTAGTTTTCAAAAGTGTGTTTGCTAAGTATAAAATTCAAAGAGGACAGATCTTTTTCAGTCCTGTAGTCTAGTTTCTTTTTTTTTTAATTTTT